TTCCCTACTGTACATCAGAAGATACTCTTTGAAAAAGTTTTGAAGGGGGAGCATTAAGTATTATTGAAATGAGAAATATTTGCACCCAATCTTTGTCTACCAAAGCAAGTTTGGCATTTAATATCATACCATTGGAATCTGTTTAGGACCAATCGATATACAGTGCTTCCAGTGAAGATCCAGCGTTGTTTAACACTTCCATAACAGCTTTCTGGTTGAAGTTTTAGTTTTTGACATGTTTGTTTAAAGGAGTGCATTCACTGAATAACATCAGTAAAAATAATCAGCTAGGAATATGACACATTAGTAACTGTTCCTGCATGTAACAGTATCTAAATGTAACATTCAGAGTAACACCTCAATCTCCCCTGCCTCCAAAACTGTGACTTAAAAAGAAAATGAGAGAGAGACTGCCTACCCCGTATATTTCCAGCTGCAGTTTAGCAGGTAAATTCACTTTAGTATAATCATTAATCCAAGACAAACTGATTTGGACTTTTGTTAAAAAATTAACCACAGCCCAACTAAAGCATTGGTAGAAATAAAAGTGCGTAATGGAGATCTTTGCTGAATGTCATTTCCTATAAGAATAAATTAGACAATTCTGTGTATAACAAACAGCAAATCCATTCCCCCATCCTGTTTGCTGCACATTACATTACAGAAGCAGAACCACAAATGATAAGCATCATTTCTTGTATCTATATTTTATCTGCTTTAAATACATTTCAGCCACCTTGTGGCAAGACAGTAAAGAGCAAGGATTTAAATTTTAGGATTTTCATACAAAGGATTTTAAACAAACTACTAAAAATAGCTCTAGACTGCAGCCAGAGACTGAATATTCAACAGTGAAAAACAAAAAGTTGCCCCTTCTCAGGTAATCCACTTTGACATTTCATACCTTTACTAAGCTACCTTGGAGAAAAATCAGACCTTATAATGTACGCTAGCTTCCCAGACAAAACAAGCCCATTCAAAAGGTTCTTTCATGAAATATTCATAGTAGTCATTAAAATTTAATGACATGGAAAAATGTGAGTGAAATCTGTATGTCATCTCTTCAAACTATTTCTTTTAACTATGAGTGACAGCCTGTCAAACTGTTGATGCAACCTATCACATGCCATTTTGGTAAGCTAGGTTTAAAGACTGGAAGGTAAAATAACTGGGTTTTAGGATCATGAAATCAGAACCTGTTATTGGGTTAGACTAAAAGCCAGCTGTAAACAATACTAGGAGGAAAAAACCGGAGTTGGTACTGAACATTAGTAGTAACAAGGTTTAAATACACTTATAAGCTGGTCTAATGACAGAGTCTTTGCTTAATGCTTTATTTTTTCCCCTACTACATAACTATTCAAATACTATGTGAAAGTGAAGGCCAGGAGTCCTATTGCTAAAGGCTGGCTTAGTCAACCTGTAATTGCAGATTAGACTAAACTGTCACAATTAGGCTCTTTGTTCCAAGGTTTTCTCTAAAACAAGACCACTGCCTCATTTCCCCCCAACAACAGTAGATCCTATAATAAACATCCTCTCTGCAATGATTCAGACAATTATTGGATCCTACTAGCGGCTTTGGGGGTGGGGTCGGGGGGGAGCATGCTATTGTGGTGGCTCCAGGGATGTTAGTGATCATGGTAAGACTGGCTTGGATTTTATTTTGTTGAAATATTTTCTTGCAACTCTGAAAAGTATCCATTTCTCTCCCTTTATACAGTAACATTATTTTCCCTTGAGAAAAATTCTTAGTGTTGGCTCAGTGACCAGATATAGTTACACATTAATTCTTCAGAAGTTTCTTAAAACTGTAGGAAACAGGTGAAAAAACAAAATGCCTTGAACTTTAAACTTGAGCTCAGTCTGTTTGAATGAAGTGAGTTTTAAGGTCATTCTTCACTCAATGCTAACTTTCAAGAAGGACCAACATGCCAGAAAGGACTCATGGGACTGCATCCTGTTGGTTCTTTGATGCTTTCATTTTGTTACTTGCTATTTTCTTTATAGCACAGACAAGAGCTTCCTGCTTGGGCCGACCCCTTTCCAACCTCACTGAATACCTCGGAAAAGTTTATGGCAAAACACCTTTCTTACATTAACCACAGAGGCACCAGTGAAATGATGGCTGCTTTGAAATCAAGAGGTTATGGTCTCCTCTCAGCAGTTGTTCACTCAGAAACTATGAAGTGCTGGTTTGTGAAAACAAACAACAGTATTATAGTAACCACTGCCATGTTGGACACTACTGGGTAGTACCTGTAATAAACGCTGCACTAACCTACTTCATAGCCTGCTTTCCCCTCAAGCTTTCGTTTATATCACAAAAGGAACAAACTATACAATTTTTATCTTAAAGAGGTTTACAAAAGTCCATTACAACTTAAAACAACCCCTGACAGATGGGAATCAAAATGCTATAAAAAGATTTCTAATACTAATTCACTTAGCATTGTTGCAATAATCTCAGACCTTTTACCAGGTACAGCCTGAGTATGTTGGGAAACTGAGTTATAACACTTTTCCTCCCAAATCCCCAAAAGGTTATTTATTTATTTTTAAATTAACAACATATGATAAGCAAATATGCAGACAGCCCAAATAGTCTCAGGTAAGACTACCATCCAAAAGAAATGTGAACCAGATACATAAACAGGGAAGAATAACTAGTCCAGGCTCAAATCTCAACAACAGAGCATCAGGCTTGTGTTTTATATGCAGATACATCCTGTTCAAAAGGCATGAGTACTGTTACCTTCAGCAGAAAAAAAAATCCCTGCTACAGTGAGTTTAAATGCCAAATCAGCATTAAAAAAAAGCTTTGGACAGAGCACCCAATCCAGTACAGACACAGGCGCT